TAGGAATTTTGTGTGTTAGACTAAGAGCAAGAATGCAAAGAATAGAGAAAATGTAAAAAGAAAGAAGAGAGTTTTTTATAATAGCTTTCTTAATTTTATTTCATCATGTTGCAGCATTTAAAGACTCTGGGTCTTACAAGTTTTAACAACCAACAAGTGGGAAACAAACATCCACTTGCTAAGCAAGTGGGCAAGTGGGTACAAAGCCTTACACTCTTTCTACCTAGTGGCTAGATTGTAAGAGATAAGAAGATAAGTAGGGCCTTAATAAAAATATCTTAACATATGAATCTAGATAGACTTTTGCTCCATTCTGTTGAGTTACCAGAGCACTAGCTTCAACACTCCCCCATGGAGCTAAGTCTTCGCATTCCAAGTTGTTCACACAGAACATCAAACCTGTGTTTTGGAAGAACCTTGGTGAGTACATCAGCAGTTTGCTCTTCAGATGAGCAAAATTGTAGATCAATTTCTTCTTCATTTTGCAACTGCCTTACTGAGTGAAATTTGATTTTGAAATGCTTCGTTCTATCATGAAGCACTGGATTTTTGATGATGGCAATGGCGGCTTTGCTGTCATAGAACATCACAGTTGCATTCTTTTGCTCCAATTTCAAATCAACGAGAATTTTTCTTAGCCAGACAGCTTGATTTCCTCCTTTGGAAGCTGCAATATATTCAGCTTCAGCAGTTGATTGAGCAACAACAGATTGCTTCTTTGACTTCCAACTGATCATGCCTGAACCAAGAGAGAAACAATAGCCAAACACGCTTCTGCTTTCTTCATCAGAGCCAGCAAGATCACTATCAGTGAATCCAATTAGAATAACTGGATTTTTGCCATAAAACACCCCATAATCTGCAGTGCCTTGCACATACCTGAGAATCCTTTTTGCTGCTTTGAAGTGTTGCTCACTTGGAGAGTGCATGAACCTAGAGAGTAGGTTAACTGAGAACACAAGATCAGGCCTTGATGCAGTTAAGTACAATAAGCTCCCCATCAAGCTTCTATAAACTTTGCTGTCAATTTTCTCAGTGCCATCCTCTTTGAAAATTTTTTGGCCGGTCGCCAATGGTGTCCCAATTGGCTTGCATTCTGACATAGCAAACTTCCTCAGCACTTCAGTAGCAAACTTCCTTTGATGGATCAGAATTCCACAGTCCATCTGTACAACTTCAAGTCCTAAGAAATAGGACATTAAACCCAAGTCGCTCATGTCAAATTTCTTCTTCATTTTTGACTTGAACAGATCTATCGTCTTCGCGGAGCTTCCAGTGATTAACAAATCATCCACATATACTGAAACTATCAAGATGTCTTGATTGTGTTCATTCACGTATAGCGTGGCTTCACTTTTACTCTTCTGAAACTCCATTTCAAGCAAGCAAGCATCAAGTCTATCATACCAGGACCTAGGTGCTTGTTTAAGCCCGTAAAGAGCTTTATTCAGCTTGTAGACCTTGCTTTCAGAACCAGTAACAACATAACCCTCAGGTTGTTCAACATAAATATCCTCTTGCAAGAAGCCGTTTAAGAAAGCAGATTTGACATCTAACTGACATACATTCCATCCTTGTTGTGCCGCTAATGATAGAAGCAGTCTGATGGTCTCCATTCTTGCAACAGGAGAGAATGTTTCAAAGTAATCAAAACCAGGATTCTGAGCATACCCTTTGACAACTAGTCTGGCTTTGTATTTGGATACAGTGCCATCAGGATTGAGCTTGGTTCTGTAAATCCATCTTACTCCAATTGCCTTCTTTTCATCGGGTAGGTTGACAAGCTTCCACGTTTCATTCTTTTCAATTGCTGAAATTTCATCCTGCATCGCATGTCTCCAAACTTCTATTTCAAGAGCCTCATCAGTACAAGTCGGCTCATGAAGTGAGAGATTGCATCTTGCATAGACATCATTCAAGGATCTAGTTCCTCTGATTGGAACATGATCAATGCGCTCGGATTCAGCATCTTCGAGTGCATCTTCAGGTTGTGCAGCTTCAAGAACATCATCAAATTGATCATCTTCTTCTATTGCCATCTTTTCCCAATTCCATTTCAAGCCTTCATCTATTCTGACATCTCTACTCACCTCCACTTTCTTGGTTTTCAAACTAAACACCCTGTAACCATTTGTAACAGAACTGTAACCAATAAAAATACCAACCACAGCTCTAGCATCAAGCTTGTCTCGCTTTACATCAGGCACATGAGTGTAGCATGGACTGCCAAACACTCTCAAGTGATCTAGTTTGGGTTTGTAACCAGACCAAGCTTCATATGGAGTCTAGTTGTCTAAAGACTTGGTAGAGATTCTGTTGAGTAAATATACTGCTGTGTTGACTGCTTCAGCCCAAAACTGTCTCGGAAGATCTTTTTCAAACATCAAGCATCTGGACATATTCATCACACTTCTATTCTTCCTTTCACTTACACCATTTTGTTGAGGAGTGTAAGGATTGGTTTTCTGATGAACTATGCCGTGATCCTTCAGAAAAGATTCAAACTGATGAGAGCAAAACTCTCCACCGTTGTCAGTTCTGAAAACTTTAATCACTTTCCCTGCTTCTTTTTCAACTGCTTTCTTGAAAGCAATAAAGTGATTAAACACTTCAGATTTTTGCTTCAGAAAGTAGCACCAAGTTGTCCTACTGTAATCATCAATAAACAATAAAAAATATCAGAATGAATGAGCTCCAGCTTATCTTTAGCCCTCTTCACTCCATCTTTGTTGAATGAACTCCTGCTGGATTTTCCTTTCTCACAAACACAACACACGCCATCTTCACTAACAACGGAAGGCATGTTTTCAACCATGCTATGCTTGTACATTTGTGACATAGTTGTGTAGCTACAATGACCCAACCTACTATGCAGTAATTTTGACTTAGAAACTGCACTAGGATAGGCTACATGATCTGCATTCTTCAGTTCTAGAGGAAAGCTTCTATCATGCATCTTAATAGTCATAACTACCACGCCACTCTTGTCACTAATATCACAAATATTATCATGGAAGGCCAACGAGAAACCAGCATCAACCAGTTGCCCAACACTAATCAAATTCTGAGCAATATTAGGCACATAAAGCACGTCTTGAAGAACTTTAGTACCTGAACTAATTTTGATTGCAGCAGTGCCTCTTCCTTTGACTGGAAGAAATTCACCATTTCCCACTTTCACTCTTGAGTGATAGTTCTCATCAAGGAACTTGAAAATACTCAAGTCAGGAGACATATGGTTTGTGCAACCACTGTCTATCAACCATGAATCAGATTTTGGATGATTTACCAAGCCTCTTTGAACTGTTGAAGCCATGAAAAGGTTCTCTTCCGCCTCTTCTAGTTCTTCAGCATTCTGAGCTTGCTGTTGATCATTTCTGAACTTACAGATTTTCTGAACATGCCCGAACTTTTTGCATTGTTTGCACTGCACACCAGGTCTGACCCAACAATAATCAGCACTGTGGTTTGTTCTTTTGCAGTGAGGGCAAGGAGGATAAGTAGCTCTCTTCCCTCTTGTTTTGCTAGAATTTCCGGGCTGAAAATTTTTGTCTTTCTTTTCATCAAAGGAAACTTGCCTCGGCTGCTTTCCTTTGGATTGAGCAAGCAAGGCTCCTTCAGCAGAGCCTTCATTCCTCATGATTTGCCTGTCTTCAACGGCTTGAAGTGCACCGACTAATTCTGCAAGAGAGAAGGTTGACATGTCTTTACTGTCCTCAAGCGAGCTAATCTTGTGCTCAAACTTTTCTGGAACAGAACACATCACCTTGTCCACAACTCTCTTATCAGTGACATCTTCTCCAAGTAGTCTCATTTGAGTAACAACCTTTAGTACTCGACCAGAAAAATCTTTCACCAGTTCATTATCTCTCATTTTGAGAGTTTCAAGCTGCCTTCTGAGATTGAGAATCTGCATTCCTTTGGCCCTAATATCTCCTTGGAATTCTTGAGCAAGTTTTTCCCAAATTCCCTTTGTTGTTTTGTTTGTCATGATCCTAACAAACATATCTTCACTCAAGGCTGCATGGAGGTAAGACACCGCCTTGAATTTCTTCGAAACAGCATCAGAGTGTTGCTTCATTTGAGCAATTGTGGGATTTGCTCTCAAGGGCTCTGGATCTACATCTGTTTCTACAACATCCCATAAATCATGAGCTCTCAAAAAAGCTTCCATCTTCACAGCCCAAATATTGTAATTTTGGCCTGCAAAAATAAGAGGAGCAATGATGAAACCTTTTGATTCAGCCATCAACACTTTCCCTTTCTTTTCTCAGTTTGTTTTCCTCACTTTCACTCGTGTTTCACTCACCTCACAGCCTCTCAAAGATCACTCAAAGAGCTCTGATACCAACTGTAGGAATTTTGTGTGTTAGACTAAGAGCAAGAATGCATAGAATAGAGAAAATGTAAAAAGAAAGAAGAGAGTTTTTTATAATAGCTTTCTTAATTTTATTTCATCATGTTGCAGCATTTAAAGACTCTGGGTCTTACAAGTTTTAACAACCAACAAGTGGGAAACAAACATCCACTTGCTAAGCAAGTGGGCAAGTGGGTACAAAGCCTTACACTCTTTCTACCTAGTGGCTAGATTGTAAGAGATAAGAAGATAAGTAGGGCCTTAATAAAAATATCTTAACATATGAATCTAGATAGACTTTTGCTCCATTCTATTGAGTTACCAGACCACTAGCTTCAACAGTTAGTAGCCTAAATGATGTTATCTTTTAGTTAAACATTAACGACTCCGATGCACTGTTCCTGTGATTTACATTAGGTTGGTCCCATAAAGTATTATTTTACCCAATTAGGATATCAATTAATATGTTGTAATTAGTTAGTCGATAGAGTTATGTCATTTTCTAAGTCAATCTATACATGACATGTGTAGGTATTTGATTTTTGCTACACTACTAATTTGCTAACCGTGACTCCATGAGAAGAATTGGAACTTGCGACATAAAGTAGGCATCAGCGCCAGCAACAAAGATTGGGGGCATCGGCGTCACAGATCATGGGCATAGTCATGGACTCGAGTCCGGGTCGGGCCTAGGCCCGACCGGGCTTTTGATTTTTGGTAGAAGGCCCAGGACCGGCCTGGGTTACCACCGGGTCTGGGCCGGGCCGGGTCCATGTTTCTTTTTCTTTTCTTATTAACCCCCAACCCCCCCCCCTACCCTACCCCCAAAACACCCAAGCCCAACTCAGGAAAAAGCTCAAAACAATGAAAAAACCCAAAAAAAAGGCTCAAATCGGGCCCAAGCCCGCCCGGGCAAGTTCCAAAGAATGGGGTGAACCAGGACTGCCCCACCCTAACCACCGGGACCGGGCCTAGGCCCGGAACTAAAACCGTACACCGGGCACAGTAGCGGGCTGGTTCCCAGGTCGGGTGGCCCGAATCGGGTCCGACGCTACTTGGGCGGCAGCATGAAGAGAAGAGAGATGTCGAGGGCTTCAGTTGTGGGAAGTCTGGGAGATGAAGTGTTTGCATGCAGCATAGGAGAGGAAGCATGCAGAACAGCAGAAGTCCATAAATTGTGGTTTTGTAAATCAAGGTTGTTTAAGTCTTTCCTTTAAAAATCAATCACTTTTTTGTCATCTAGACACACCTTTCTACCAAAGCAGGCAATCAATTGACTTATTCGAAATTTAGCCCATGCTTCAATGTTTTACAAGAGATTATAATCCCCATCTCACAGTTGACCCCACCAAACGGCCCAAACCATATATGTAGTATTATTGGAAGTCACCAATACGTGTATAGTATTAGGCTATTGACCCTTTACTCCCTTTGGAACTTGCTGTCACCATTTAGGGCGGTTCCCGATAAAATTTTTGATAATTTTTTTGAACATCTTATTCATTAAGTTGGGCATGGCCTCGGGTCAGGCCAACCGGCCCGGAACCGGACCGGCCCGCTACTGTGCGGGCCCGGACCGGCCCGGTGAACCGGTTAGTGCCCCGGTTCCGGCCACCCGGCCCGGTGGGATAGCGGTCCGGGCCCGGGCCTGCTATTTAGTGAACCGGCCCGGCCAGTTCGGGCCCGGTCCGGGCCGAATTTAATTTTTTTTTTTTTGGAATTTTTTTTTAAGTTTTTGGGTTGGGCTGCTTATTTTGGGCCATTTGAGGTGGTTTGGGGGTGAGGGGGGAGGGTTGGGAGTTAATTAGAAGCCAAAATATATATATTGGACCGAGGCCTGGCCCGAACCGGACCCGGGGGTTACCCGGGCCTCCCTTTCCTGAACCGAGGCCCATCCGGGCCCGGGCCCGAACCGGAACCGGTCCACCCCTGCATTAAGTCTAGTTCACTCATATCAAATTTCAGATAAAAATTCAATCGGGAAGACATTCAAATGAATTCTTCAAGATAATTGTGCCGTTAAAAGCGCAGTTATCTTCAAGAATTCATTTGGATGTCTTCCCGATTGAATTTTTAGCTGAAATTTGGTATGAGTAAACTAGACTTAATGAATAAGATGCTCAAAAAAAATTATCAAAAAATTCCACTGGGATCCACCTCAAATGGCACGTCCGGACATAATCTTCTGTATCAGGACTTATTTGACCCCTTTTTTGCAACTTCAAGGACGAAACTGACTCTTTACTCATAATTAAAGCCTAAAGGCATTTGCTTATATCATCAAATTTCTGTCAAGCATGTGCACGACAAAGAAACTCTCTTTTCAGCTTTAATTTCCTCTATTAATTTACCTGTACAGCTCAAAACAAAATCTAGTTTTACCTAGTTGTACAGTAAACTCACTAGATGTGTGGACAAATTACGAGAGACTTGGCATGCAGATGCCATACAAAACTACTACTCATCAATACATAAAACTGATCAAGTCCCAAAGCAATATACTAAGTTGGTGAAAAACATGCAAGCCACTGTAGCCCCCAACTTCATCAAGCCCAATCATAGCTCGGAGGGTAACAATTGTTATAAACATCCCTTGAAATGCCAGTTCCTAGCCACTTATGGTTAGTTAGCCTAAGCCAGGTTTACTCACAGATGCGGGTCTAAGCATAGAATGGCCGAGGGCTGCTGGCTGGGAATTAGATAAGGCGCTGAACATGACATTAGCATTAGGAGGTGAAGGGGATGGGTGTATAGCTGAAAGTGGCAACCGCGGCCCAAGCCCGTACATCCCTTGTTGTGGTATGTACGGCATATGGGGATGAATTGGTTGGTTATTCCCATAACCGGAAATGAAAGGAGGCGGTGGTTGTTGAGAACCTGTAACAACAGGTTGCCTGGTGCTCACATTGTTGTTTTTCATCATTGATGTCCCAACACCTGATAGACCCATAGGACGGGATGCCATAGGTGATCCAAACTGTGAAATCAATATATTGCGCTCCGCAGCAATCCGTTGCCTTGTCCTTTCTATCTGTTCACATTCCCTCATCAACAATGTCTCAACTTCAGCAAACTGCTTCAGCTTTAGCTCCAATCTCTTTAACTGAAAGGGACAGCATAAAGTCAAAAGATAATGCTCAAGTAAATCTGCCATCCAGGATCATAGGCCAAATAGAGTCTGATTAGTGAATAACATGAAAACAAAACAAAAAAAAATCATTTTTAACAGAAAAACAATTCCAACAAAATTAATTCTCGTATAATTATACACTGGCATACTACCTCTACCTCTAGCGCTTCTCAACAATAGTTTAAGCAGAGCATATTCATAATCTGACAAAATCGATTGATTCACTTTGTTGGTTTCTCATAAGAATATTTTTGGTTGAGCATGGTTTTGCTTGAGATATTAAACTTAACCAGATCAATTTTCTCGCTACTAGTTACTTATACATGAAATTATCTGCTTTAGCATAATATCTTAAGCAAACCATTGGCAACCAAAAACATGAAAGACCCAGTAAAGATGTAGAATGCTGCTAAAGAATATAAGCATCTTTCACAACAAGGGCAAGCTCTCTAGTTTTGAAGCATCTCCCTTCCCTCTACTCATTATAATAGGCCTGGTAATTGTATTTCCTAAAGGCAATCCACAGGATTAGTACACGATTAACTCAATAAAACAATTTGCCCACACAAAAAATGAGTTGAAAGACACCAACTAATTGCAATGGATACTTCAAATTTTTTAATCAATTCAGTGAGTGAGTGAGTGCGTGATTGAGTAAATAAGTAAGTAAATGAATGGAATGGAATGGAATGGAATGGAATGGATAGGATAAATAAATAAAGTACCTGATGGTTTACAATATTAGCCGACAGTCTTTGAATCTCGCGTTCTTCATGATCGGCAAAAAGCTTAGCCTTCAGAGATGCTGCAGCAAGGCCAAACTTGGCAGCAGCTTTGACTTTTCCATTGAGTAAAGGTGCAGTTCCTGCATCAAGTTGATACTGTTGGCCTTGCAGTCCCAATTTTTAGTAGAATAATACACGCATTCACATACTTATGTATGTGCTCGCGCGCAGACACACGTACACTATAATTCAATGTGCATTAGATGAAACTGTAATGTACATTAGGTGAAATTGAAATGCGCAACACAAAGGGTACGTTACAGTGGCATTATGTGAATCTGAATTGTGAATTACGTGAAATTGAGATGTGCACTAGGTGAATCTGAAATGTGGAGAATAAAAGGTACGATGTGATGTTATTTTTGTACTTTAAATTCCGCACATTTCAGTTTCATCTAATGCACACTTGAGTTTAAATCTTTATTCTGCACATTTCAATATCATCTAATGCACATTCAGTTCCATATAATACAATCTAATAGTCCAGATTCATTTTCATTTCTCTCCTGTAATGAGTCTGTTCTTACAGGAACCACTCTCCCTATATATATATATATATATATATATATAGAGAGAGAGAGAGAGAGAGAGAGAGTATCATGTCCAGCACTCTCCCGTCCGAACGCCGTTTGGAAACCGCAGTTCGCGATGGAATTTTTTAATGAATTTTTTTGAGTATATTCTTCATCAAGTCTAGTTTATCCACACACAAAATCAGCTCAAAATTCGATCAGAAAGGCAGTCAAATCATTTTTTGAAGTTGACTGCGTTTTTATATGAATATTTTGGCGCAGTCAACTTCAAAAAATGATTTGACTGCCTTCCCGATCGAATTTTGAGCTGAAAAAATTTTGTGGATAAACTAGACTTGATGAGTAACATGCTCAAAAAAATTCATCAAAAAATCCACCGGGAACCGCCCCAACAGCGGGGGGACAGGGGAGTTCTGGACAGGATCAATTCTCTCTCTCTCCCTCCTGTGAGTCCGTTCTTACAAAATACAAATTCATCTCATCCGTCCAAAATTACAAAATCAATGGTAACAATTCATTAGGCTTCTAACCACCAGCCGTAGTGGGGGAAGTAATCCCTATTTTTTCTCACCTCCATGCGGTTAGGCAATTTCGGAGAAATTTTAGGTTCTTCCTAATTAATACACGGTTGATCTCATTGAAATGAATGGCTATGATTAATTTGCACTTTGTAAATTAAGATGACTTTGTATGTGATCCTAAACCTATATACATACATACATATATATATATATATATATAGTGGAGTATCTAGGGCCATGAGAGAGCAAACACCCCTGCTACCGGTCTAAAGAATAGCATTAGTACTTATGTAAAAGGCCGGTACCCCATTTCAGATACAGTTGATTAGTACTGGTATTAGATCTTAAATGCATGTTAGACTTGAATTTCGTAGAACTGCTTCCGGCCTCTAAGCGCAGTATTAGTACCTAGGGAACTGATATGGTTAATACTTAATAATATTAGTTCTTAGATAACTGTGACTTGAATGATGAAGACTCCGCCGAGAAGAAACATTATCACGTAGAAGAAGAAACATCATCATTCTTTAAAACCAAATCCCCAAAAAGAACCGTTTTGATTTTCAATTTTGTTTTATAAACAATTTAAATGACATTGTTTTGGATTGACTTTGAATATAATAACAAACGAAAAAATCAGATGTCATTGATATTACCATTGCTACTATCAATGTATAGTAAACAGTAATGAACTAGTTTATGGTTAATTACTTAATTTTTACTCCACACAATGTTGTCATTAGTTAATGAAGCTTAAGCCACGTTAAAGTCACGTATCCCGTGCTAACATTTGAATTAGTATAAATAATTAAATTTTACATATGTACAAAAGTAAAGTAAAGTAATATTGCAACATTTGGTGCCCCGTGTGAAGGGTAAAAAAGGTTCAAAATTTAGACATGAATAGGGAGGGTTGAAGTATTTGTCTCACAACGGATTTTATAAAGCAGTAAACTTATACTCCCTCCGTCCCACAAAACTTGGCCAACTTTGACTTACACAACAACAACAACAACAACCAAGTCTTAGTCCCAAACGATATTGGGGTCGGCTAACATGATTCGATACATGATATCACCAAAAGGAAAAGAAAGAAAATAAAGATAAACTATTATAAAAAAAAGATAATATAAAAGAGATGAATATACATATAAAAGATAAAATAAAAAGGATAAAGTAATATTTATATATGAGGATAAAAATATATATAAAAAAGGGGAAAAAGATGATACAAGATCACTCTTCCACACGAATACCCGCCCTCCATTTTGCTCTCTCCAAAGCCATATCCTCATCCAATCCAAGAAGAAGCATATCAGTTCTGACTCCCCTAAGCCACGTCTGTTTGGGCCTTCCTCTCCCTCTCTTCCCTGCCTCTTCTCCACACATCTCAACTCGTCTGACAGGTGCATCACTCGGTATTCTATGCACATGACCAAACCACCGTAGGCGCGACTCCCGCATCTTATCTTCAATAGGTGCCACTCCCACCCTTAGTCTGATTGTCTCATTCCTCACGCGGTCCTTTCTATTATGCCCACACATTCAACGCAACATGCGCATCTCTGCCACACTCATCTTTTAAATGTGACATTGTTTCACCGCCCAACACTCCGTGTCATACAATAATGCAGGCCTAATTGTTGTCTTATAAAATTTACCCTTCAGTCTAGTCGGCATACCTCGATCGCATAGAAATCCTGACGCACTCTTCCACTTCATCCACCCTGTTCTGATTCTATGGGATACATCTCCATCTAACTCACCGTTCTTCTGAATTATGGAGCCCAAGTAACAGAACATATCGCTGACCGGTATCTCCTTACCATCTAAAGTAATTCCGCTATTACCACTGCTTCTACCTCCACCAAACTTGCACTCCACGTACTCTGTCTTGCTCCAACTTAGTCCGAAACTCTTGTTCTCCAATGTTTGTTGTCATACTTCCAACTTTGCTTTAACCCCTGATTGCGTCTCATCAATCAATACGATATCGTCGGCAAACATCATGCACCATGGTATATCATTTTGAATTGACTTTGTAAGTTCATCCATGACTATGGCAAATAAAAAAGGGCTCAGAGCCGATCTTTGGTGCACTCCGATAGTAATAGGGAGCTCCGCAGTCCTCCCTACACTAGTACGGACACTTGTAGTACAATCCTCATACATATCCATGATGATGCTGATATACTAGCGTGAAATGACTTTTCTAGTTAAGGCCAACTTTTACTTACACGCAGAATGATAAAGTAAAAAGTGTGTAGTTGAGATTTGAGCAGAGAAGAGAGAATCTACTTTAACCATACATTTGTTATTTTAAATGAAAATGATAAAGTTTTATGGGCCGGCTAAAAAAAGAAATTTGGCCAAATTTTGTAGGACAGAGCAAGCTTGTCATGGTGCATGGCGATCGTCATGGCACAAAAGCATTTTTCATGGCGCGTGGTAATGGCGCATATGGCATTATGACGATGACCATTTTTTCATGGCGATGGCGCATATGGTGTGCGCCATATCTCGCCATTGACAATTATGGGACAGAGTATATAAGACTATAGGCTACTCTTATCAGGGTGATATCAGAATCAAGTCCTGTTGTGATTTGATAGTTTGTGAGCCGTTCATGGTATAGGGTAGCCCATCTAGTATGGTCTATTAAGCCATTTATTCACTCTCATGTTGTTCAACCCAATTTGAGCGGAGGGGGCGTGTTGAATTATTTATTGCTCCCTCTGTCCCTTTTTATTTAGCCAACTTTGACTTCTCAAGTCAACGGTGTCCAACTTTGACCAATTATATATTTACACACATAAGTATTGATAATATGAGAATGATATCAAAAATTCAAAATGTTCTTTGTTAAAAATATTATCATAAAAGTATACGGTTATTAAATTTTATATGAATATATTTGTTAAAATAATTGGTCAAAGTTTACCATTTTTACTAGAAAAGTCAAAGATGGCTACGTAGAAAGGGACGGAGGTGGTACAACTTACCTTTGCCTTTGCACTGATTGGCGTTTGACAAGTCTCCACAAGAATTGCCTTCCCTACCATGCATTGTTCCTACCGTTACTCTGGATATTCAAACCAAAGATCTCTTACTGTTATTGAAAGAGTGATCATATATTAAGTGAGTTTAGGAAAACAAGAAAAAACCTAGATGCATGCAAACCATGAGAAAGTGAGAAACAAACATTTAATACACACACTTCATTTGTTCTTGTCTGGTTGCACTTGTTTGACTTTCACAATTTCTCATGCACAACTCTGAGTATTATATTTTGAAGTGCCTACTAGTAAAAACTATATACCAGTATATAAAATCACATTTTGAAACTTTACACTATGAAAAGATTAAAAACAAAATTCACAAATAAGAACTTTTTTAAAGCCACTTATGTTGTGAGAAGATTGCAACAAGAATGGCATCTTCTTTGTCTTTGTCATTATTCGTCATTACCCCAGTGCCGCAAAGGCTCCCACTTACGGTGGGGTAAGAGGGGGTCGGATGTACGCAGTCTTACCTCTGTATTTAAGTATAGAGAGACTGTTTCCGGAAGGCCGATAGTGAAAATCACATCGAAAATTGCATAGATTGACTGTTGCTTCACAACAAAGAAGCACAGACCGTTTAGTGAGCCATTTTGCTTTATTCCATCATATTCCCAAGCCAAAAAATAGTGAGTCTTTGTCTCCATTGAAAATGATGGAAAAGCAACAAGAATGGCATCTGGCATGAAAATACGGCACAACATTTTTGCATGATTTCAGAGTGCTATCTAGTTTTAAATAATTAATTGGCACTTCACCCAACAACCCCAACATTATTAGGATTAAAGTGGTTATGAGCCCTTTCCACACCCACATAGTCACTGCTTGCAACTAAAAAGGAGCAGCTTATGGACTTAGGAAGACATCAACGCATAGATCATAATGCATGCAATGAAACTGAATATTATCACAATTCTCATAAAATGTGAGAAGTACATAATGACCTATTGTCTTGATCCCCTCAACACTGGATGAAAGAAAAGAAGACATGATATGTACCCATTATTTGAACTAGACCCATCAACTTGACCACTATTTGCAGGTTCGGTCAAGTTATCATCATCGGATAAAGCTGCCAAAGATGCATGGGCACACGATGCAGCAACTCTTGGTCCTACTGCAGATGCCAGAAAGGCAACCTGTATTTGGCAATAGAGAGTAAGGTCTAAGTAAATCTTTTGTCCCACAATCGATTTTGGCAGCAATCGTCAATAGCTCTCCAAGCAAAATCCAGGACTAGCAATCCTGTAAACATTTTTCCAATCCATATTCCCTACATTTATTTTTACTTGCTCCATTAGGTTTTTCACAGGTTTAAGAATAAAATTAAGAGAGTATTGAATCATGTAGAAACGCGAAAAAGTTGGGGGGGAATATGAAAGAAAAGTAGGAAAGAGGATATGAAAATGTAAAGCATTTATATATTTGATACATTGGGATGCCAAAAAGGCTTAGTGGGATAATTAATAAACTTCCATAGAAGGAAACTGAAGCAAGTAAAAATAAACAGGAGTATTGTAACAACTAACAAGAATTCTCACAACCAAGATGCAATATCACTATTAGCACAACAAAATGCTATGGAATTAAAAATGACTCCTTCCTAGAATACAATATTCCAATGCTGTTTCAAGTTGTAAATTTCTTAATCACTGAAAGAAAAATTTACAAATGATGATTATACTGATCAATTAGTCAAGAGAGCTATTGATTGGTGACTTCAATGCTATCCTCTCTGATGCATGCTACTATATAATATTATGGAAAGATAAACAGAGCAATCAAGTAGAATAATGAGGAGTAATATCTGATTGATTTGCTTGATTGAGTTTATTATGATGGGGTTAAGACTATAATATTAGTAAAAATCAACAAATGGACAAAAAAAGATCTTAATGTTTAAATTTCCGAGAAAGAGACTAAATACAATTAAGAAGACCATTATATCCCTGGATTCCCTGCTACTTGATGTATTACTACGGTACTAACGTCACAGTGGTTAGCTGAAACAATGATAATCAACAACAATGACACATCAGCTACCCATCTACAGTGACACGCCAGCCACAGTGACAATGACACGTCAGCCACACTGACCACAATGTCTTCCGCCATCGGTCCACAGTTACGTCCGCCGCCGGTCCACAATGACCTCCGCCGCCAGTCCACAATGACCTCCGCCGCCAGTCCACAATAACCTCTGTCGCCGGTCCACAGTGACATCCACCGCCTGTCCACAGTGACATCCGCCGCCAGTCTACAATGACATTCGCCGCCGGTTTATAGTGACCTCCGCTGCCAGTCCACAGTTACATCCGCCGCCGGTCCACAGTGACATTCGCCACTGGTCTACAGTGACATCCGCTGCCGGTCCACAGTGACATCCGCCGCCGGTCCACAGTGACCTCCGCCGCCGGTCCACAGTGACATCCGCCGCCGGTCCACAGTGACATCCACTGCCAGTCTACAGTGACCTCCGCTGTCGGTCCACAGTGACATCCGCCGCCTGTCTCCAGTAACGTTGCCACAGTGACGCCGCCACAGTGACTCCGCTACAGTGACGCCGCGGTGATGCCTGATTTTCTCAGTGGCATCCGACAGCGCCGCCGTCCAATAGCCGCCTCCACGGCTCTGCTTCAAACCACTGCCACTGTTGTAAACGATGCGAGCAAACCACCAGCTCCAGTCCATCGCCCTTGCCACCACCCCCATCTTCGGCCCCAACCTTAATTTTTCTGTCTCTGTTTTGGTACAAATCTGGAAATCACGCCACCTTCGCACAGATCTGGAAACGGCGTCGCCTTCGCACAGATCTGGAAACGCCGCCGCCTTCGCACAGATCTGGAAACGCTGTTGTAGCTTTAATTTTTTGCGCCGCTTTCGCCATTTTCGTTCTGATAACCCTAGCGGCCAGCCACTGTCGATACCATATGTTGTTCTCCACCTCTGATTTGGTATCGAGACTCCAACGGTGGATGACAAAACGACGCTCATCGACAAAGACGTCCATCCATTCACCTTCCCACGACCGGACAGAAAGAGAGGAAAACGAAGATCGTCAGCGTGGGTAGGGCGGCGACGAGGGAAACAGCGACGGAGGCTAGAGTGAGCAAGCGCAGCGGCGGCAAGCGAAACAGCGACGGAGAGATGAAGGCTAGGGAGAGCGAGCGCGGCAAGCCGTCACTATCTGGTAGCGGTTGATGCCATCCACCGGTACTTTCTGCAGAGGTGAAGAAGATGTTCAGATCCAAGGGAGAAGATGTCCAGATGCGTTTAGCACGGAGGACTATGAGTTTGAAAAGGGTATTTTACCCTTTCATTTAATTTTAGTCACATTTCCGTCGTAATTGTAAGTTGAACACATTTTTGACTATTAAAAGCTCAGCAGTATTATTTCGGCCATTTATTCTATTATGATTTGATTTTAATACCTTCATTATTTAATCTATTTTAGGAAGTGATTTTCTAGGATTTCCCTTTCCTTGTTATCTGCATGTAATCCCTCTTATAAAAGGGAGCTTTGATATGCTAATAAGATATCGAAGAAAAATTAAGAAGAAACCAAGGAGAAGGAAAACTCCCCAAATTTCCACATCCCCTGATCCCCTATCCATTTATCATTTTTATTTTATTCCCGTGACGCAAAGAATCCCGGTACATAACATTTTGGTTCCGTTGACGGAGAGATGAAGGCTAGGGAGAGCGAGCGCGGCAAGCCGTCACTATCTGGTAGCGGTTGATGCCATCCACCGGTACTTTCTGCAGAGGTGAAGAAGATGTTCAGATCCAAGGGAGAAGATGTCCAGATGCGTTTAGCACGGAGGACTATGAGTTTGAAAAGGGTATTTTACCCTTTCATTTAATTTTAGTCACATTTCCGTCGTAATTGTAAGTTGAACACATTTTTGACTATTAAAAGCTCAGCAGTATTATTTCGGCCATTTATTCTATTATGATTTGATTTTAATACCTTCATTATTTAATCTATTTTAGGAAGTGATTTTCTAGGATTTCCCTTTCCTTGTTATCTGCATGTAATCCCTCTTATAAAAGGGAGCTTTGATATGCTAATAAGATATCGAAGAAAAATTAAGAAGAAACCAAGGAGAAGGAAAACTCCCCAAATTTCCACATCCCCTGATCCCCTATCCATTTATCATTTTTATTTTATTCCCGTGACGCAAAGAATCCCGGTACATAACATTTTGGTTCCGTTGCCGGCGTCATGGGAAATTTCACACTTCCTGCAGATCAGTACACACTCCTCTTAGAGATACAGAAGGAGTTGCACAAACCAACGTTTGCAATTGCGCAATGCAATTGCGCCTCATGGCGCGCCTCTGTGATTTCCGTGGCTGTGGCGTAAAATTGCATTGCAAATTGCGTCCTGGTCTGTAGCGTAAGTTTTTATCGTAAATGCGTACGCAATATAGCGTACGCAACGCGGCGTATGTATGGCGTACGCAATATATTGATCGATGGTTTTTTTTTGGCCTGCCGGGCCCAGTTTTTAGTAAAATAGAAACCGACATACGGTATAGGGTATTATTATATATACGGCCTCGAGCCTTTTTCCCAGCTATTCTCTGCGCAATTCATACGCAATAAGCCAATAACCCAGTTCTGCGCAATTCTTTACACCGCCTGCTTTCCGTTTCGTTGCTTGTTCAGCCTTCAAGCTTCAGCCTTCTACGGTACTGCTTCTCTCTTTGATGATTTGTTCTTGTTTCTATTGAATTTTTTTGGGTTACAGTTTCTATTGAATTTAATATTAAATATTAATGTTAATTTTCTGCTTATTATTAATACTTCATGTTTTCCTGCGGTTATGTAATGACAAGTTGACAACTTGATTAACTTCATGATTTTCCGTTTATGTTTTTCCCAGCTTGTTAATTTTCTGCTTATTAATAATCCATGTTAATTTTCTGCTTATTAATAGTTTAATACTTCATGTTTTCCTGCGGTTATGTAATGATAACTTGATTAACTTCATGATTTTCCGTTTATGTTTTTCCCAGCTTGTTAATTTTCTGCTTATTAATACTGCATGTTAATTTTCTGCTTGATAATTTTGCTTATTAATAATTCATGTTAATTCCCAGCTTGTTTCTGTTATTTTTTCTTATTCGTTTTTGTATATACTGCTCCGTTTGATGCTTAAATTTTGTTTCAATTGAATTTAATACTAAATATTAATGTTAATTTTCTTTCAAACTTCAGAGTTGCAGTTATTATATTTAATAACTTCAACTTTGTATTGCTTCTCTATATGATGCTTAGTTTTTGTTCCTATTCAATTAAACACTAAATGGTAATGTTATTTTTATGCCTATTAATATTTTTTATTATCCTTCCATTAAATTTCAACTTGTCAATATGTTTTTCAGTTTATATATGTGCTTATATATATACGCATATTAATATGTTTTCTGCCTACCAATATGTTTTCTGCCTATTAATATTTTATTATTATCCTTATTCAAGTTTACATCATATATGCACAGATGCGCTAGATATATATATATTATGCTAATATATCATTCTTGTTATTTTCTTTCGCCATAGATAGGTTTTTTGGTGCGGTACAATCATGACTAAATCGAATAAAAATGACCCTGCATGGAAACATGGTGACGAAATTGAACGAGAAGGGTTAAAGGGCAAATCTTATAAATATGTAAAATGTAGATATTGCCATAAAGAGACCACAGGAGGGGTAACCAGATTCAAGCATCATCTGGCCTGCACAAAACAAAATGTAAGCGGGTGTCCATCTGTTCCGGAAGACATAAAGAAATACATGTTAGACCTTTTGAAGTTGGGGCAGAAAACACAAGCAGTTCGGGACAGAGATCGGGAAGAGGTTATTAATAGTGGTTCATACTATCAAAGTGTAAATCCACGTGGCGTGGATTCAAATGGAGGTAGCAGTAGCGAACGAGGAGTCAAGGGCCCTATGGATAGATACGTCATCGACGTTGAAGGTGAGAATAAGGAAACTCCTGTAGGTGAAAAAGAAGCCAGAAAAAAATGTTGTCTGGATGTTGGGAGATTTTTTTTCCGAGAATGATATTTCATTTAATGTGGCCAATTCACCTTCATTTATCAACATGTGCCGTGCAATCGGTAATTATGGACGGGGTTTCAGGCCACCTTCAGCTTATGAGCTTAGCCATTGGATTCTAGATGAGGAAGTGAAGACCACTGAGAAACTTGTTGAGGAGGTGAAGTCGACATGGACACAAACAGGAGTGTCTATATTATCCGATGGGTGGAAGGATATGCGTGGAAGACAACTAATCAACTTTCTCGTCAATAATCCTTATGGAACGGTATTTTTGAAATCAGTTGATGCCTCAGCTCATGTAAAAGATGCCAAGATGTTGTTCAAGCTTCTGGATAGTGTCGTGGAAGAAGTAGGGGAAGATATTGTTACTCAGGTTGTAACTGATAATGCCTCCAACTATAAAGCGGCCGGCAAATTGTTAATGGCAAAGCGACAACGTCTGTGGTGGACACCTTGTGCGGCTCATTGTATTGATTTGATACTAGAGAAGATTGGAGAGCTCCCACAGCACAAGAATGCGCTAGCAAAGGCCAAGACGGTAAGAAAATAATATGAAATTTAATTGTCATTTTAAAATTTCAAATTTAAGTTAATTATTAAAATTATTAAAATATAAGTAGGACTCGTGTAAATTAAATATTATTAATATTATTAATATATTATTATTTTTATAGGTGATTCACTATATATACAATCACGGATGGGCACTGGCTTTGATGCGACAAATGTTAAAACGGGATCTTATCCGTCCAGCTGCCACCAGATTTGCTACTGCATACCTTACGTTACAAAGCATGCACAGTTCAAAAGACGAGCTGGAAGAAATGTTTGTATCTAAGGAATGGTCATCTCATCACATGTCTAAATCCGCAGAAGCAAAGAAGGTGAAACAAATTGTGTTGAGGGACAAATTTTTTTGGCCAAGCGTGGTGTATGCAATCAAAACAACAAAGCCGTTGTTTACTGTGTTGAGGATGGCAGACTCAGAAAAGGTCCCTGGTATGGGGTTTTTATATGGTTCCATGGATCAGGCAAAAGAAGAGATAGCTAAGAACTTGGGCGGGGACGTGGCTGCATATAAAGAGATTTGGAGCATAATCGATGAGAAGTGGGAATTTCAGATGCATCGTGATTTGCACGCAGCAGCTTATTATCTCAACCCCCGTTACCAATATGATCCCAATATGTCCAATCATCCGGAGATTAAGCTTGGTTTGTTTAATTGTGTGGCAAAAATGTTTCCAGCACGAGCACGAGAAGATCAGGAGAAGATACATTTGCAGATGGATGATTATCGTTTGAAAAGGGGGTTCTTCGGTCATGATGTGGCGAAAAGCACGGTTGATAAACGTGGTCCTGGTATGCAAAGTTTATTGATGTTTTATCCTTTAATTTTTTTTACAAATTAATAATTTTAATTATGTTAATGTAGTGGACTGGTGGTGTCAATATGGCGATCAAACACCTGAATTAATGGCTTTTGCTGTGAGGGTGTTGAGTCTTACACGTTCATCGTCTGCTTGTGAGCGTAATTGGAGCACGTTTAACCAGGTATTAAATCACTATATAAAGAATTAGTATAAAATACTAGCTAATTAAGTAAATAATAAAGTTTAACTACTATGCTTGTAGATACATACTAAGAGAAGGAACCGTTTGCACACACATAATTTGAACAAGCTGGTGTTTGTGATGTATAACAAGAGATTAAAGACAAAGTGGATGAAAAAAACATCACTTAAAGAAGACATTGATCCTTTAGTGATGGATGAGATTCCATCAGATGATGAATGGGTGATTGATGAAGATGAGACAAATCCTAATGATGTTGCTTCCGATGATGATTCTGATGGTGAAGCTAGTGTTGGACGTTCTTCAAGTCAAGAACTTGTTCATGGTAGTGGAAAAGGCCGCGAACAAGGACGGTTGAGAGGAAATAGTCAAGGTCAAAAAAGAAAGCGTCTTGATAAAGGAAAAGGAAAATTGCACTTGATCGATGAAGATGAAGAATTGTTTGGTCATGATACTGATTTTGATCTTGACCTTGATGAGGATGAGGATGAGAATGAAGGAAATATTGGTGGTTATGATCCTTATTTCAGACCACTAGATAGTGATGATTCGATTTTCCAATCATCAATCTAATATGTTTAGGATTATTTTATGACGTTTCAGACATTTTTGCTATTATTCAAGATTATTTTTCCTAAGATTATTACAACATTATGATTTGTTTTAATATTGCATTTGCTGGTTTCTCTTGAATAATGTTTTTGTTATATATATATATATATATATATATATATATATATATATAAATATATATATATATTTATAATATAAATATAATTATATATATACATATATTTACGCCTTAGCTATATGCCTCATTGCGCAATGAGGCTTACGCAATATGCAATTCTAAAAAACCGCCATAGTTACGCAACACGCAATTTCGAACATTGGCACAAACTGATAAGCGAAGGGCATCTTCGCAATCTGGAAATTACAGTGCAAAAGGTGCAAGAAGCATTGCCACCATTAAAGGAGTCACTTCAGAAACTTTCTAACCATGTTGCCAACCTTTCCGAATCAGTTGACTCCTTGGGAGGAGATGAATTTCTGCCTCAACCGCCGTCACTAAACACTTCATCTGCAGAATTTCTGTCTCAACCGCCGTCAGCGTTGCTTCCAACACATCTTCTAGAGCCAATGCTGTCTGCAACACCCATATTGCAGACTGCCCTACCCGATAAACTACCCAGAACAAACTTCTTGGACTTCCCCGATCCATTTTGGTCCACTAAGCCTGTCCCAGTTTGCCATTGTATACCAATGGAATTTTTACTGGACGCTGATGACCTTGGCCATAGTCCACCACTAAGAGTGACTTTCAATCTTCTTCAAGAATACAAGGATCACTGGCACTTTTTATTGGTGCAGTCATTCAAAATCCAGTTCGAGTTTTCAAGCTTGAGGGCAAGCTTGATTTTCCAGGAGGGGTGTAATGATGCATGCTACTATATAATATTATGGAAAGATAAACAGAGCAATCAAGTAGAATAATGAGGAGTAATATCTGATTGATTTGCTTGATTGAGTTTATTATGATTTGATTTTAATACCTTCATTATTTAATCTATTTTAGGAAGTGATTTTCTAGGATTTCCCTTTCCTTGTTATCTGCATGTAATCCCTCTTATAAAAGGGAGCTTTGATATGCTAATAAGATATCGAAGAAAAATTAAGAAGAAACCAAGGAGAAGGAAAACTCCCCAAATTTCCACATCCCCTGATCCCCTATCCATTTATCATTTTTATTTTATTCCCGTGACGCAAAGAATCCCGGTACATAACACTCTCCTCATCTTTATACAAAAAAACAAGCTCATTTTAGGGCAAGAAGCAGCAGCACCAAATTTGTCACCGGGTGTAGTTACTTACCAGAAATGGCCCATGACTACACAAAAAAAGACATAGGGGAACTTATAAGTATTCACTAAGCAACTGATTATATTAAAATTGTGCTTACCAGGGCCATAATTGGGTTTCCACAATGTGCAAAGGGAAATTTGTCATCAGAGTCAAGACCTTGCAAACTTGACCCTACATCAGGATATTAAAAAAAAACGGGGGAAATGTCAATTTGGTCCTCGTACTATCACGAAAACGTCAATCAAGTCCTTGTATTTCTAAAAAATCAATCAAATCCCTGAACTTTGAAAAAACGCTTAATTGAGCCACTTAGCAAGTTACCTACCATTTCATCAGGCACCCGCTGACGTGGCGCACACGTGACAGTCCACATGTGTGCCACGTCATCGGGAAATGGTTGACTTGGCTTCCGCGTGTGCCTAATGTCAGCAAAGTCACTGCTGACTGGGCTGCCACATGGGTGCCAGGACCGCAGGTGACTTGCTGATGTGGCGGGTAACCTGCTAATGGACTCAATTAAACGTTTTTTCAAAGTTCGGGTATTTGATTGATTTTTTTAAAAGTACGAGAACTTAATTGACGTTTTTGTGATAGTACAAAGACCAAATTGATAGTTTTCCCTTGAAAAAAGTAAACAATATGTAAGATGTTTTTGATTTTTTGAGTTATTCGATGCTTCTTAAACTAAAACAACATTACCAACATTACCAGTATTATTGACATTTGAGTAGGAATGGGATCCTTGGTTATCTTCCCCAGGGCAAGAACCTAAGGATCTAGATGTGCTTGGAACCTCAATATTATCAAGTTGCATGCCACCAAGAGGTAGGCGAACAAATTGGAGCATGCACTGCGCTTTAGACTTAGATCCAACATGTTCTGCAATTTGGACCCATTTTTCATTATAGAGTTGCACCCCCTCCAGAAGCAGCAGTGTTTCTTGGTCAGTCCAAGTTTCTCCATCCTGATCTCCATAATCTTTCATAGAGCTGACCTTGACAAAATCCAGGCTAGAGTGTCCAATAACAAATCTTCCCTCATGGAAGCAATCCAAACACATTATCACCTCAGCCTGTCAAAGACATTAGACATGCTATGGATTATGAATATAGCCATATGCTAATAAGCAAAAGTTTTTACCAAGAAGATATTCACTCATACTGGTGATAGTGCTCCGAAAAAGGGACTCCCAAAATAATAGAACAATATGAGTTAGAGAAATAAAGTGGTAGTCTTTATATTTGTGTGCCTATCATCACCATTAGCACAAGAGTTACCCATGCTTAGAGATTGATACATGAGCTCATGTGGAATACACACATAATTATTCCAGCTGGATAGACATAAACGAACTCTAACAAATGAACTGAAGGTGAATTTGAAGCATGGCACTCATTAAGTCAGTGGAATGAGGTTGCCTGTTTGAGGGAAGCGGAATTAATTTGTAAAGAAAGTTTGAACACAGAATGAGTGCAATATGACTTTAGATTCCTTCACATCTTACCAAGGAGCGAATGTATCGAAATTGAAAAATGTAACTCCGCCCATATCATGTCATACAAGAATAGATGAAAGTTAACATTACTGTGTGTGGTAACCAGGAATTGAAAAAACTTTGAATAAATCAGCAGCATCAATATGAATTACAACTTGCAAACTATGAACAGCTTATGGATTGCTAACTCATTCTGAAAACAAGGCAATACTCAAATACGGGACTTGACCATTTTAACTTGACTTCTTAATTAGTCGCAGGACATAGTGCAGCACTGTCCATGGATCAAATTTTTCATGGTAAGTCAGTAGAAAGCACTTGATAGATTTTCTGGGTGACATACTGATATTATTAAAGCAGTACTTCCTATATGTTATAACTTCCATTCGACATGCTCAATAAAATAGTTGAAGCTGCATGCCCAAATATAGCTTTAAGGCATATTACAAAAGGCCTTCATCATTAATTTTTTTATGGATTTTATGGGCCAAATTTTTTATGCAGGGTGGAAACTCAAGGGTTATATATGTATGTATAGGAGATTTAAAAAATGATATGCCAAAAAATAGAAAACAATCAATCAGAAGTCAGATGAAGCGGTATTTAAAAAATTACATAAGCAATCTGTAGTACTGAAGCATTAAGTATTAAAAAACTGATAGTTCTGCAAAGTAAATGCCATCGCCTTTTGGATGTGCTTTACATACAAGGGCATACTCGTGTGCCCTTGAAAGTTCAAGGGCACACAAGTATACAACTGTAGCAAAAACCTGTGCTTTGCACTTATTTGTGAGTTACAGTATAATTAGAACTTAGAAGCTAGACAGAAGTATTCCAAACCAACTCCTTTAATAACAGCATTTAAAAAATTACTTCAGCAATACGTGTTAGTGTGGTACTCAAGCACTAAATATTAAATAAACTTCTAGCAACTGAAAATTAAATGCTCTCGCCATTTAGATGTGATTTATGTTATTAAAACTCAAGGGCATACGACTGTAACAAAAATAAGTGGCTTCACTTATTTGTGACCTAGTGGGATTTTCATTTAAATCCTTTACATGGTAATAATAAGGGGAAAATATTTTAAATACCCCAAACTTTAGAGGGGTGTTAGGTAAGTACCCCAGACTTACATGTGTAATATATATACTCGGAACTTTATATGAAAAGTTATCTTAGCACCATGAGCATATGTTTTCCATCATTTGCAATGGAGCCAAAAAAACACTATTTTTTGGGCTTGGGAATACGATGGAATAAAGCAAATTGGCTCACTAAAATGTCTGCGCTTCTTTGTTATGAGGCAGCCGTCAATCCATGCAATTTTCGACGCGATTTTCACCTTGGGTCACCTGGAAACAGTCTCTTTGTGCTTTTGTACAGGGGTAAGGTTGCGTACATCCGACCCCCCCCCTACCCCAGCGTAGGTGGGAGCCTTTGCGGCACAAGGGGTAATGACGATGATGGTGGTGGTGGTGGTGTTAAGAACATAATTTAAAATACAATGATGAAGTTAACATTCTAAGCTTCCATTTGTGAAATAAACAATATTACTTCTGGTCACATACAATGTACTAAGACTTTCTTTGTTTTTTAATAATTGAAACAGTTTAGCTTTTACGCTAATTTTTACGTTATTCGCACACTCTACTTTGACTTATTTTATTTACTAATGTATTAGACAATTTTCCTAAACAAAATAATATTAAAAATTTCAAATTAAAATAGTAAAATATGACTTTTATAACTGTATACTAATAGTAAATTAAATATGTTATAATGGTCAAAACCATTTTTTGCTAATATAAATTAAAAGTGTTGCAAATATATATAGACCGGAGGCAACATTATTTCCCAACTGAAATATGCTTAGTGTATTTAAGTTATTTATTTAACACTATAAATTTACATTTGTGAAAGAAAACATATATGGGCATGCCGTCATGGTGCTAAGATAACTTATTATATAAAGTTTGGGATATTTATCTCACACCCCTCCAATGTTTGGGGTATTTAAATCATTTATCCCTAAAAATAACTTTAAAATGTTGAAGAAAATTCTCCACAACAAGAGGTCTAATTTACACAACCATCGGGAAATGTCAGTAAACATGTGTACTATACCTCCTTCTGTGATTGGTAGTACATAATTGAAACAGGCCGTGAACAGCAGTTGCACCTGTTTTCAGAGAGTTGCTCTCGGATAGTAATATCAATGTCAGATTCATTATCAGTGTTACAATCAAGCTCTGGATAAACATATTTTGCCCTGAGCCGACATTTAGGCTTGTCAAAACGGATCAAACTATCAATAGACTTCAAAGCTTCTGAAGGAACACATAGTTCGCCGTTTGCATCATCATATAAGCATGCCCCATCCTTATTCAACTCGAGTGTAGGACGATTAGCACAGTAATTGATTATTCCCCAATGATCAAGAAACCGAACAATTCTAGTTATATCTTCAACACTAACACCATTAACTATCTCCTGACAATCAGCCACAGATAGGTACTTTTCGGGACTCTCCATATAATTTGCAACGATTTGATTTCTACATTCCATGTATTTTTCTGGTGTATAATCAGTTGATTTCCCAGAGAAAAAATGTGGGACCACTTGCCTTTCCAACCTGTGTACACTATTTGGGGAAAACCAGTCTGCTTGCAAGAGAAACAAATGAAACATTGTGCATACATTTAGAACCAACTGAAGAAAACTTAAACTAGCATATGTAGAAAGGTAGAATATTGTGATCTTCGAAAGAATGAGTTAAATAGCAAGAATAAGAAATAAAAATAAAGTATGGAGTGCAGATTATGAAATGATACAAATGCAGGGATGCTCTCTATACGTTGAAGGTTAGTAGCAAGTTAGTTGTTTGTTAGTTGAAAGACTAGTTTTGGTTAGTCTTTATTTCCATAATTAGTAACGATGTGTAGAGCATTTAATACATGGGTTAAGGTGAGAAGACATGCCAACTCCTTATTTATTAATGCTGATTTCTGAATCTATACGACTACACTGGGTTAATGACTTGATTGACTTTATGAATTAACTAATTAAGTTGTAAATATGGAGGTTTTACCAGAGCATAATGACGTAGATTTGTAAACATAAGCCAATTGGTGAAACACCTACAGACTAACTAGCCCGAAATGAAATATTCTCTTATGTACTTTTCTGTGAAAACTCTATCCAGCATTTGAAAATAATCGAAAAAATACTCTTAGTTTCAGGTACCATACAGTAGTTCCAACGACACTTGCAAGTTACCTCTATTGCCTTAGAAGGATGCTCCCAATACTACAATTAAACAGTCTGCCCTTATAGTCATGTAAGATGATGTAATCGTCAGAGGAATGCTATACATCGCAATTATTGCAACAGAGTTGCGCATGGCAGAGATCAGTGCAAAACGATACATGAAAACTTTTTAATTTTTCCATGTTTAAGGTAGAAAATTGTTTTCGAACTCTCTCCGCTACAGAAGGCGAAGAGTTCGCACGTTTTTAAGTAAACATCAAAGTTGTGAGATAATGAGAGTCACTCCTGAAGGGACTCGTCCTTCTCTAGTTCTCTTGTCTCCAAACTGGTACTCTTGGAGACTTGGATCATGGGTCCTACTGTCCTAGACTGGATACAGCTAAACATATCTCTACGCATCGTGTACGCCTCTTTCATCTATCATTATGCGGAACAGATCAAAAGTTATTGCTACAGGAATTGGAAAGCCACCACCCATTCAAAAAACATATCTATATTTAGTCATTACATTAGTATGTTGGTAATTGGTATGTGTCCACAATTAATTGATTTTAATTTCTGTCCCTGAACTTAACATTCTTTAGAAGACGATTGGCTCAGGTTTTGAATCAGGAATTCATATTGGCCATCATAAATCAGTTTGTCTGTGCCACCAGGCCCACCACAGTTCCTCTTGCTCTGCGCCAACTAGATCAGCTTGTAACTAGGAAAACATTCCAGAACCAATATAAATGGTTCCATGCTTCTATCCACCTCTTCTAGGAACCTACCAAGCTACTTCAAATTTAGGTTTCAGTCACTCCGTTACCTCTATATGTAATTCTTCTCTCTGCATTTAGGTTTTTCTAACGCGAAGTTTCTGAACGGTGTCTATCATCATCATCATTACCCCAGTTCCGCAAAGGCTCCCACCTACGATGGGGTATAAGGGGGGGTCGGATGTACGCAGTCTTACCCCTGTACTAAAGCACAGAGAGGAGGCTGTTTCCGGATGAACCAGAGTGAAAATTGTGTCCAAAGAGTTTCTGAATGGTGTCTATATTTGAAAAAATTCTGATGGACATAAAAATAAACTTGGTGTATCAATTAATATCATATAGAGTGACCATATCAGGAGTACTTCAAAACCATGTTATCTGTTTCATGATTCAGAAGACATGCCCCATGAGTCATCATGTCCAGACACTATACAACAAAATGAAGTTTGAAAACAAAACCATCAACATCTTCAGGGCCGGCCATGGAGGCAGTTCATCTAGACATTTGTCTAGGGGCCCCAAATGTTAAGGGCCTCCAGAATCCAAATTTATAAACAAGTCTATTATTATGAGCTGAGGTATTTCCTTCTACATTTCTCAGTTTGATTACGTACTGAGCCACTAGTTTTAGTCGGCCAATGACTAGGCCACTAGGAGTAGAATGTTTAGTGTATGCGTATTGTTATATATTTGTGATTGTATTAAAATAAAATAAAAATCTTAAATGCATTTGTATTATGACACCAACCGACTAACTGTGCAATTATAATTGTATTATTATATATAGTATTGATTTAAACTCAACATTTACTCAAACAACTCAATTATTTATTTCGTTGTGTAAAACAAATAATTGATTATAATAATTATATTTGTGAATGTTTTAAAATTTATAAAAACATTATATAGTTGAAATTGTGATGTGTGATTATATGGTCAGGTGGATTAAATTTTTTATTTGTGAATCATTTACTTATCTATTATGGAGTATTACTTTGTATGTAGTACTCCGTATTATTTTGCACTTCGTATGAAATTACAGGTTTTGTTTTTCCAATTGACTATGTTCTTACTAATTTTGTCTTCAAAAAGCTAAAAAAGTAAAAATGTTTTCTTTTGGGCTGAAATTTGCTGATCTAGTCTGGTTTGTTGTAGTATGGTCTGGTCTGAACTGGTTTGGTAGATGTCTGGTCTTTGTATATTTTTTAACTATGAAAGTCTAGTCTGATCTAGTCTATTTAAATCTGATATGGTCTGGTTTGGTCTGACACTGAAAACTGTCCAAAAGAAGTACTCTCTTTAGGAGCCATATTTGCTGCGTTTTGTATGTAACTTACTTGATATTATATTTTTATATGGTTAGACTAAATAAAATAACATATTTAAATAAAATGTCTATCTGACTATCTAGGGCCTCCAAAATACTCTAGACGGCTCTGAACATCTTGTCGAATAACTGCCACCATAATTCTGGAATACATAGTGCCAGGGGTAAACCAGATTTGGTTTTTTATGGATATACAACGTGAAAGTCGGACAAGACAGGAATTTGGATAAGCTAAAGACATGTTAGCCTCACAAAATGTAGAAATAATTAGGGTTGGTACATTTACATGAATAATATAGGATATAAATGTTCACCATGTGATTAATCAAATAATTCATGTGTCACATGCCTATGTGTGTCTGAGACCTGACGAGAAATTGAAGGCATAAGAAGGGAGATGAAACTAGGAGAGTGTTGGAGCGTAATGAACATATGGTGGAAAAGGAGGATGTTAGTTTACGAAATCCGGATTTTCCTATTTTTAGTGGTTATTGTTGTTGTACGTAGATTTTCTATTTTATATTTAATTTTTTACTGGTAATTAAAATTTATATACTGTATTTACAAACCATGCCTAAATGTCCACTCCTTCTGCTCCTTTATATATGCCAAAATCTAGAGGAGACTGATGGTTCTTGATATTCGTTACTTCACAATTCCTACAAAAGGTTTAATGTGTTTTTCTTTCTTTACCATTATTAAAGATGATGAGAGAATAAGTACAAAGGCGATCTGTAAATGACGATTACAGAGGGAGACGAATATAGGTGGAATACAAATATGGAGTATGTTAGTTGCCATCATTGGGTCATGTGTTTTTATCTCGTGACTTACTTAATCAGGACCAGAGGGAGAGGTGACACTCCTAATTGATGATATTTTTTTTGAAGAAAATGCATTGACAAAATGAAATAGTAGCAGAGATGTATAATGCGTCAGGACTAAAAACACACCAAACCAAGCTCACTGTAAGCTACCTGCATGCATTGGGACAACATGAACGCGACCAGCATTTCCGAACCGCTTAATCACACCAGTGCCGGGCATTATATGTGGAGGTGTAATGACATAGGAGGCGCTTGCGCTTCCATCTCCTCCTGGTTCATCCAGCCCCAAGGCCGGACTATCAGCTGGTACAGCTGAGGTTGCCTGAAGCTGCCCGTAGGAAATATTCTCCAAAACCACCCGGGTGTGACCCTGGCTCCTGCTGTCCCCGCTTTGGGCGGCCATTTCCATGGTAACCATGTTGAGCACGGATGAATGGAGAGCCCTGACGGCATGCCTGATGACCAAAGGGAACTCGGAGATTCTGTCCCCGCCCTCGGCAAGCAGCTCACTCTCCTTGGCAGAGGCGATCCGATCCACAGAAGGGTTAGGGTTTTGATGGTCCTCATCAACTTCCTGCTGCTGCTGCTGGTCCTGTTCTTCCTCCTCATCCTCGTCCTCAAAACCATCGTCGTCTTGCTGAGGCCTCGGCTTTCGAGAAATCAGAGGCTTCCTTTTCTTCCACTTGGACCGCGCCTCTGCGGGGCACCAAATGTCAGTTTAACAAATCATCAAAACACGCATATCTAGTATCTACACCACATGCATGATTAATATAATACGCAAGAACAAAAGATTGATTAAATGCGAGATTGGAGGGCACCTGATGAAGCTGGCATTGTCAAGTGCTTGCTTTGCTTTCAGGAGAGAGATTCGTGGTCTTGGATGGATGGAGGAGCGTCGACAGACAGACTAAGGGCAAATCGATCCTATTTATCCCTCGCCGTAGATGTCAAATTTGAGAGGAAATCAATCAATTGGAAGGGCTCTCAATAAAAACTTCTTGAGGTTGTGAAATTGTTTTTTAAGGTTTTTATTTTACATTTGCATATATATCACTGAGGTCTAAATAAATAGAAATAGATGTACACGAGTATTATGGGGTGTTTGGATCTCATTCTTAAAACTGTTTTTCCTTCTTCAGGGAGTAGAAAAAGAAGTTGGAGTGTTTGGGTGAAAGTGTAGAAGTGATTCTGATGCTCTAATTTACTTCTAAAATCAGTTTTTTTAGAAGCTGGTTGTAATAGTCGAGATTTAATTGAAATGGATTAATAGTACTACTCATCAGAGGTGCATCTCTTTTTAAGGGAGCTCATCACTCAAGAACTCCAAAGTTAAGTGTGTTTGCACGGAGTAATCTTGGGATGGATGAGCCCCTGGGAAATTTCTCAGGGTGCGCATGAGTGAGGACAAAGTGTGCGGTAAAAGCTCGTGATGGTTTGTGAGTACAGTACTAATAGTCTGGAGTAACTACCTCGGGTCCTACGGGACCGGGGTGTTACACTGGTGAAGACCAGCTTCTGAAAACTGATTCTGGTTCTACTTTTAAAAAAGAAGCAGAATCAGAATTAGTTCCAAACACCCCTATATGAAACACTTTAACATGCTCGTTACGGACCATTTTGACTTGATGAATAGCCACGATTCTCCCGTCTAATATTTTGAGTGAGTACGAACCATTTATCATATCAGCATTCTTTGTAATGAATATGTTGATGTGTTTAGTATTTTTTTTTTGGTAGAGTAAGCGATAAAAGTACTCACCCTCATCGAGAATGTTCGAATTCACAAATACTCTCATTCACTGTTGAGTACAACTTAATATACTTACATGATATATCTTTTTTCGTTAACACACACCAAAAGACTTCTTGAATTACTCTATCATGTGTCATTTAAGTCAATGAACACCGAGGACGATGGACAAAGGTCGCGGTCCAAGGGTAACTCAGCTTCGTCACACGAATCTGAAGGCAATCATCCGAGTCCTCGCGAGGAGGATGGTGCTTCTACTTCGATGACGATCCCCTGTCCTCCTCCCATATCGGCCATCTGTGGTGATGGTTCTTCGGAGGCTAAGAAGAGAGGATCAGCCATAAAGGACAAATGATTCATTTCAAACTCTGCAAAGCAACAAACAGTTAGTTAAATAAAAGGCAAGTAAGGGGAAATAAAGGGTAAAACGAAGCAGCATTCGGCCGAGGGTGGCAAGGCCAAGTCTGACGTTGCCAAGAGACCTCATGTGACGAAGAAAAAGAAGAGACTGGCTAGTGATGAAAGTCAGAAGACCCTAAGTGAGGCCAGCCAGCAGCCATTGATGAGGTCATTACCAAATTCATGGCTGAGGGGTTGAAGTATGAGGATTGGCATTGTTGGTGCTATGAGGTGGTGGTCGCCAGGTTCGAAGACTGGACGAAGAATGATTCTGTAGGGTCAACATTCTGGGAGCAGGAGATGTTCGTCTTCTACAATTTGGGACAATACATGATCCAACGGTTGATCTATAGGAGGCTCTGTCATCGGCTTATCAACATGAAGCCTGACGACTTGAATCTCCCCTGAAGGATGAACAATCCAGAGGAGGAGCTTGAGTTGCCTAAGGAGCAAAGGCAGCTTCCCATTGAAAGCTTTGGCACCGGCGAGGAACCATGGATTGATGACGAGGCCCTGGATGATGCAGCCGCCTCGAGAGCTGTTGTAATACCCCGCCCCGTAGGTACCCGAGGTAATTACTCTTGACCTCATCCAGACATCTAGTATTGTCCTCACAAACCAATCATAAGCATTTTCTGCGCACTTTGTCACCACTCGTGCGAGTCCTGAGAAACTTCCTAATGGGTCGGTCACCCATCCCAAGACTACTCCCCTGCAAGCACGCTTAACTTAGAGTTCTTAGGTGATGAGCTCCCTTAAAAGGAGATGCACCTTGTTGGTATTAGTAGTACTATTAATCATTTTAAATTATTCTCAAGTGTTACAATCGTTGAGCAAGGGGATTATGAGTCTGAGGCCGAAGATGAGGGAGGTGATGACGGCTAGGATGGTGAGGGCCAAGGTGGTGGCCAGGCCGGTGATGAAGCTTGAGCTCAATGTCTTTTTCTTTTTATTGGGCGTTGTGCACGTATGATAGAGTCCGTAATGCTCTGATCTGTAATGGCCGTTGCGCCCACCAATTTGTACTTAGAAAATTGTATGAATGAAACTTTTGCCTTCCCTCACCCTTGCTTTTTTTCATCCTTTCCTTCGCTTTATCCTTTATTGCTATTGTGTTGTTTTTGTGTGCTTAGAAATTTCTACAAGTACAAAAGATTACTTGTTTTCAATCCTCGTGTTTGAGGAAAGTGTGAAGCACAGAGAGCTGGCCGATGGGCCTATTCTTCATACGGCTATGCATTCCTTCTACGGCTATGCATTCCTTCTGTTGGCCATTGAGTAATGGTTTGTACTTGAAAAACTTCCCTGGCATGAAGGAAGTGCATTCTTCAGCCATGAGCTGATACGCGTTTCTATTTTGGGATTTAGAAAAATTTCTGAATTCGCAGTCACGATGATGAGGCTTCGGCTAGTAGTCGTGATGTCCGTCCACTCTTTGCTTTTGATCTTTGAAGAAAGTTTGTGAAGTCCATAGTTGTACCTCTATGGGTCTTCATCATACACAAGGTGTAATTTTCCTGATATGTACTTAGCCAAATTAATTCGTGACTTTGATTTGGGGATTTTATTTTTATGCTCGAGGGCAGGAAAGGCCAGGTTCATCGGCTTCAATCTTCTTCTTCTTTTGAACTTCTTTTTACTCCTTGGAGCGAGAAGTGTGGGATCTGTTTTCATACTGGCCTTCGCGTTTTCCGGGTGTTTTACATTCCTCCAGATTTTCGTGTGAGTTGTCCAAAAGGATTGTCGGTCCCTCGGCTATCGGGTTGATCCCGTATCCTGGGGGCTTCCTCGTCCATCGAGACATGTGGCTAGACTTTGGTCAATTTCTTTGACGCTTGTCACATTTGGTCCCTTGGAAGTGATCCCAAGTGTTTGGAGTTTTTGTTACCTCAACCATTCTTTCAGGCATATTGTCCTGCGTCTATCGCGCGAGGATGACACAATAAGTTTCTCCTGTTTAGGATGTGGACCAAGGATGGGGGATGCCTTGCCTTTGTTCCTGTCAGGACAATTTTTCTAGACACAAAAATGAGAAGCATGCACAATATTCTGCTGTTTCATCTTGTAAATTAAACTTGGAAAAAGTTTCGGTTCATACGACATGCACACAAAACACATTTGATCACACAACTGAAACAAATAAACACTCATTTGGTTGAACTGCAATATTTTGATGCTTACACTTGAAATGGCACCATGGAAATATGTAACGCCCCTCTCAGGGTCAAAAAGAACATTACACTAGCATACTACTTTTAAAAATAAATTGCAATATAACGGTCGTTTGTTTAAGAAATAACCCCGATGAAATCTCAAATATAACTAAAATATAACTCCAAATAAAAACTCAATAAAATCTAGTTATCACCAGTAAATGTGATAACCACCTGGATCCAGGAATTTACTCAAACTTCAAATCCTCAAATAAAATTAATAATAATAATCTCTTTATTATAACAACTGAAATACTTCAATAAAATAATAACTAGCTAGAAGCCGCCAAGGTCGTTCCCGTTAACTTATTGACATGCTTTCCACTCCCTCATCATCATCCTATGCCTTGGCCTTACCCTTAGTATCTGTACATGCGAAGAAAGAAAAGTGATAAGCTTTACTCTTAGTAAGTCACTATGGATCCACAAAAATATCTGAAAAGTCTATGCTAATTTATCAATAGATAAATTTAGGCTATAAGCATGCACTAAACAAATACGGAGTAACTAACAAATAGTTTTTCAAATAAATTCTGAGAGAGATCTCAAAATTTGTCTCTCAAAACATTTACGTAAAAACTTTCTGAAAGAGATCTCAAAACAACTTTCTGTAAAACTTTCTGAGAGAGAGATCTCATAAACTTTCTGTAAAACTTTCTGAAAGAGATCTCGTTAAACTTTCTGTAAAACTCTTTGTGGCTAATTTTACTATGTGGGCCCGTGATATGTACTCAAAGGTCAGGGGAGCGACCCACTAAACACATCACTCTCCGAAACTCTGAAACTCTGATAACTCTGTGGGAACTTGTTCCCGAGTACATATCACTTAATCTTTCACTTTAAATATTAGTTCTTTTTATGGTGACGTTTGGATAAAAACATCATTAAAATCTTGAAATAAAAGTACTGACATAATCTTGAATATGCCATATAATAAACATAACTTAATACGACAAATAAAATAACTCATCAAATAATTCACCAAGGTCACATAATAGCAAATAGTCTAAAATCATCTATTAATAATCAATCAGGCTTCTTTCTTTCATTTGGTTGAACGAACATGTACAGGTGGTAGTGAACTTACCTGTTAACGGTTGAACTCAAAATTACTCAAATAAGTGTGGCACTTTGATAACGTCTTCCGGTAAGCTCTCCTTAAAACTCTTTAATTAAATATAATACAACGTAATATAATAAGTATTCATTTTGACATAAATCCAAAGCCGTTACAAAATACTACCGATCAGATTACTTTATACAATTATTTTTACGATCAAACAGACTAATAAATGAAAAGATGTGCTTCTACGATTAGCTGAACCGAATGCCCTGTTTACTGAACACGAAATATTTGGGAAATATCGGTATTGATTCCACATGATAGAAACTGTAACTAAATTTTACAGGGCCCAAATTTGGACTTCACAACTTAAATTCAAAAAAGGGAAAAGGGACATATATATCCTCATACTATTAGTGTGGGAACATATATACCCTTATATTATTTTTTAGAACAAAAAACTGATAAAATTGGAATGGGGGTACAAATATACCCTCACTAACGTTTTAAGACTTTGTCGTTGACCTAACATTAAGTAGTCTTTAATCGGTTGTCTGGGCTTATCCCTTATTATCTTAGCTCCTTTGTTATTTCAAAAAGAAAACCTTCACCTCCTATGTCTAC